CCACAGACTCTGGGTGATAATGATGTGCCAATGTAGGTTCACCAATTGCAACAAATGTATTACTCTCGTAGGGGATATTGATAAGAGGGAAGCTATGTATGTGTAGAAGTAGGGGGTATACAGGAAATCTCTGTACATTCTGCTCAATTTTGCTGTAAACTTAAAACTGCTCTAAAAAATAAAATCCATTTTAAAAAATTCACTAGAGGGGCTCAATGGCAGATTTGAGCAGGCATAAGAAAGGGTCAATGAACTTGAAGATAAGGCAATTGAAATTATCCAATCTGATGAACAGAAAGAAAAAAAGAATGAAGAAAAATAAACAGAACCCGAGAGACCTGTGGGACATAACCAAACATACCAACATATGCATTAGCAAGTCCCAGAATAAAAAGAGAGAGAGAAAAAGGGACAGAAAAAATATTCGAAGAAATAATGGCTGAAAACTTTACAAATTTGATGAAAGACATAAATTATCTACACATCCCAGAAACCCGACAATCTCTAAGCAAAATAAACTCAAAGAGATCCATACTAAGACACATTATAGTCACACTGCCAAAAGCCAAACACAAAGAGAGAATCTTGAAAGCAGCAAGAGAGAGGCAACTTGTTACTTACACAAGAGCCTCAATAAGATTAACAGCTGATTTGTCATCAGAAATCCTGGAGGCCAGAAGGTGGTGGAATGACACATTTAAAGTGCTGAAAGAAAAACAACTGTGAACCAAGAATTCTATATCTAGAAAAAAAAAAATTCTTCGAGAATGAAGGAGAAATTAAGACATTCCCAGATAAACAAACCTAAGGGTCTTCATTACTAGTAGACCTGCCCGACAAGAAATGCTAAAGGGAGTCCTCAGGCTAAAATGAAATGAAACTATACGGTAACTAGAAGCCATATGAAGAAATAAAGAACATTGGTAAATATAGGTATTTACATAGGTAAATATAAAAGTCTGTATTATTGTACTTTTGGTTTGTAACTCCTTTTTTCATATACAATTTAAAAGGTAAATGCATAAAACAGTAATTATAAATCTGTGACAAGAACAACATGAAGGGGTAGGGAAAGAGATATATAGGAACAGAGTTTTTGTACACTGTTGAAACTAAAGTTGGTATTATTTAAACTAGGTTATTATTACTTTAAGACGTTAATTGTAATCCCAAGGTAACCATTAAGAAAATAACTTTAAAAATATACAGAAAAGGAAAGAAGAGAATCAAAATGGTATCAACAAAAAAACAAACAAACAAACAAAGGCAGTAATGGAGGAATTGAGGAACCAAAACATATAAGACATACAGAAGACAACTATAGGCATTCCTCGGAGATACTGCAGGTTCAGTTCCAGACCACTGCAATAAAGTGAATATTTCAATAAAGTGAGTCACATGGAATTTTTGGTTTCCCAGTGCATATAAAAGTTATGTTTATACTATACTGTAGTCTATTAAGTGTGCAATAGCATTATGTCTAAAAAAACAATGTACATACCTTAATTAAAAAATACTTTATTGCTAAAAAATCAGCTGAGACTTCAGCAAGTTGTAATTCTTTTGCTGCTGGAGGGTCTTGTCTCAATGTTGATGGCTGCTGACTGATCAGGGTGGTGGTTGCTGAAGGTTGGGGTGGCTGTGGCAATTTCTTAAAATAAGACAACAATGAAGTTTGCTGCATTGATTGACTCTTCTTTTCACGAACAATTTCTCTGTAGCGTGTAATGCTGCTTGATAGCATTTTACCCACAGTAGAACTTTTTTCAAAATTAGAGTCAATCCTCTCAAACCCTGCCACTGCTTTATCAACTAAGTTTATGTAATATTCTAAGTTCTTTGTTGTCATTTCAACAATCTTTACAACATCTTCACCGGGAGCAGATTCATCTCAAGAAACCACTTTGTTCATCCATAAGAAGCAACTCCTTAATCCCTTAAAGTTTTATCATGAGTTTGCAGCATTTCAGTCACATCTTCAGGCTCCACTTCTAATTCTAGTTCTCTTGCTATTTCCTCCACATCTGCAGTTACTTCCTCCACTGAATTCTTGAACTCCTCAAAGTCATCTGCGAGAATCGGAATCAACTTCTTCCAAACTCCTGTTAATGTTGATATTTTGACCTCTTCCCATGAATCACAAATGTTCTTAATGGCATCTAGAACGGTGAATCCTTACCAGAAGGTTTTCAATTTACTTTGCCCAGGTCCATCAGAGCCACTCTCTATGGTAGCTATAGCCTTATCAAATGTACTTCTTAAATAAGACTTGAAAGTCAAAATTACTCACTGATCCATGGGCTGCAGAATGGATGTTGTATCAGCAGGCATGAAAACAACATTAATCTCGTTGTACCTCTCCATCAGAGCTCTTGGGTGACCAAGTGCACTGTCAACGAGCAGTAGTATTTTGAAAGCAATCTTTTTTTCTGAGCATGAAGTCTCAACAATTGGCTTAAAATATTCAGTAAACTGTGTTGCAAACCATGTAAGTTGTCATCCAAGCTTTGCTGTTCCATTTATAGAGCACAGGCAGAGTAGATCTAACATAATTCTTAAGGGCCCTAGGATTTTTGGAATGGTAAATGAGCATTGGATTGGCTTCAACTTAAAGTCACCAGCTGCATTAGCCCCTAACAGGAGAGTCAGCTTGTTCTTTGAAGCTTTGAAGTCAGGAACTGACTTCTCCTCTCTAGCTATGAAAGTCCTAGATGGTATCTTCTTCCAATATAAGGCTGTTTTGTCTACATTGAACATCTGTTGTTTAGCGTGCCCACCTTTATTATCTCAGCTAGATCTTCTGGATAACTTACTGCAGGTTCTACATCAGCACTTGCTGCTTCACCATGCACTTTTATGTTATGGAGATGCCTTCTATCTGTAAACCTCATGAACCAACCCCTGCTAGCTTCAAACTTTCCTTCTGCAGCTTCCTCAACTCTCTCACCCTTCATAGAATTGAAGAGAGTTAGGGCCTTGCTCTGGATTAGACTTTGGCTTAAGGGAATTTTGTGGCTGGTTTGATCTTCTATCCAGACCTCCAAAACTTTCTCCATATCAGCAATAAGGTTGTTTCGCTTTCTTATCATTCGTGTGTTCACTGGAGTAGCACTTTTAATTTCCTTTAAGAACTTTTCCTTTGCATTCACAACTTGGGTAACTGTTTGGTGCAAGAGGCCTACCTTTCAGCCTATCGCAGCTTTTGACATGCTTTACTCACTAAGTATAATTATTTCTAGCTTTTCACTTAAAATGAGAGACGTGAGACTCTTCCTTTCACTTGAACACTTAGAGGCCATTGTAGGGTTATTAAGTGGCCTAATTTCAGTATTGTGTTGCAGGGAATAAGGAGTCCCGAGGAGAGAGAGAGACCGGGGAATAGCCGGTCGGTGGAGCAGTCAGAATACATACATTTATCGATGAAATTTGCTGTCTTTTATGGGCATAGCTCATGGTGCCCCAAAACAATAACAATAGCAACATCAAAGATCACAGATCACAGATCACCATAACAAATATAATATTGAAAAAGTCTGAAATATTGCAAGAATTACCAAAATGTGACATAGAGACACACAAGCGAGCAAATGCTGTTGGAAAAATGGCGCCAATAGACTTCCTCAATGCAGGGTTGCCACAAACATTCAATTTGTAAAAAATGCAGTATCTCTGAAGCATAATAAAGCAAAGTGCAATAAAACGAGGTATGCCTGTAGCTAAATGGCAGAAGTAAGTCTTTCCTTATCGATAATTACTTTAAATACAAATGAACTAAATGCTCCAATTAAAAGGCAGATATTGGCAGAATGGATTTAAAAAAAACACGACCCACCTATATGTTCTCTACGAGAGACTCACTTTAGATACAAATACACAAAGAAGTTAAAAGTAAAAGGATGAAAAAAGATAGTCCTTACAAACAGCACCAAAAGAGAGCTGAGGGGTTATACTATTATCAGACCAAATAGATTTTAAGCCAAAAAAGGTTATATCAAGAAGACATAACAATTATAAACATATATGCACCTAACAGAGTCCCAAAACATATGAAGAAAAAATTGACAGAATTGAAGGGAAAAATACAGACAGTTCTCCAGTAATATTTGGAAACTTCAATACCCTACTTTCAACAATGGATAGAACAATAAGGAAACAGAGGACTTGAACAAAACTATAAGCTAGGCACTATTCAGGGATTCAACAATGAACAGACAAAAATCCTTGCCCTCATGGACCTTACAGAAATTAAACAAGATGTTAAAAGGAAGACTATGTAGGATATTAGGAGAAAAATTAAACAGGAAAGGAGAACAGGGATTGTCAGAGGGTTGCAGAGTTTACTTAGTGTGGTTAGGGAAGACCTCACTAAGAAGATGACATCTGAGCAAAGAGCAGTTCTCCTTACCCTCAATTATCATGTTTATCATAATACTTCAAAAACGTGTGTACTAGACAAACTCCCCGTCTAGCTGGTGAAATCCTTGTTGGTCAGGACTAGTTTCAGCTCCCAGCATAGAGCTTACACAGAGGGGCTGTTTAATAGGCTTCCTGAATTGAAATGAGAGAACAATCATCACCTGTGTGAACATGCCCACGCATACACACAGTTCAGAGGGTTACTGTGGTATATAAATTGCTACTGAATTGTTTACTAACATCTTTACCCTTGGCCCTCCATAGTAAATTAGTTTCCATGTGGTCAGTCCTTCAATTCAATGGGCTAGGTGAGAAGTAAAAGGAGTCGTTTTCTCAAACACTGGCCTCACTACCCAGAAACTGGATATCTCCTAAAGACCAACCATTAATAAGGAAAAAAGTCTCCTAGACTAACTTGCTCTTAGGAACTCTCTTAACACACATTTTACACATAAAAACAGAGGCCTATAAAGGTCAAAATTCTAGTTAGAAATGGGAGTATTTGCTGGGGCTCCTTAAAGGTCACTCTGCCTCAGATCTACTCCCAACCAAGAAAAAGCCTCCAGAACCCTCTGCCTCCTGACCTGCACCAAGCTCATTTCCAGCTGCAGGGCATCTCTCTCTCTCCGAGCTGTATCCAGCTCTCCTTCCAACCGCCGCACCTCAGACTGCACCAATGCCAACTGTTGCTGGGCCTCCTGGGCTGCCTGGGCCTCCCTCTGGGTGTTCCCCTGAGAAAGGGAAATCAGACTTAAGTACGTACCTCATTTCCTGTCTCCTGGTTACCTCCATTCCCCAATTCCTTCTCCCATACCCTAAAACCCAAGCTTCCTCTCTCTCTCTCCACATTTGACCTATTTCCTCATCTCTGTTCAATCTCACTCTTTGGCCTTCCATGTATTTGATGCCCCCAGCCCTTCCTGCTGGCCCTACACTCTCAATCCTGTCTCTCACATATAGTTCTCTCCATCTTGGTCCCCTACACCCCATATTCTGACCCGTCTCATTCAATTATTTTGCCCTTCATCTGTTCCCCAACAGCTGCTTTTACCTTCTCCCGTTCCAGCTGAGCCTGGCCCTCCTCCTGCAGCGCCTGGTAGCGTTCCTTAAGCTGGTGCTCTTGCTGGGCCCGGGCCTGCCGTTCTTCTTCTAGGGCAACCTGAAGTGTCTCCAACTGGCGATGCTCGCTGCGTTGCCCAGCCCGAGCCTCATCCCGTTCTTCCTGCAGGGCCCGGCACCGTTGCTGTTCTAGCTCCAAGCTCAGGGTCAGAGCTTGCCTTTCCTCTTCCTATAGCCCCAGGAGAAAACCAAGATCCTTAGCACGCACTCAAGAGACAAGCAATCTGCCCCTCACCCCCATACAATGTGCCTACTGAGAATTACACCCATTAAAAAGATAATAGTTGACAAGCCCACAGGATTACAATATAGTAGGTAAGAGCTTCTGTTCCAGAATTAGGTAGACTTGGGTTCAAATCTCAGCTTGAATCCCAGTTCTGTCATTTACTATGTGTTCTTAGGCAAACATCCTTATCTATAAAATGGGAATAATATTAGGGTCTACCTTGTGAGGATTAAAGGAAAAAGTGTATCTAAAGCATTTAGCACAGTGTCTAGCACATAGTAAGTACTCAATACACAATAGCTAACACCATCATCATCAAAAGACATTCCACAAAGACTAGAAAATCCAGCCTATAATCATGTACTAGCCAAGCAGCAACCATCATCAGCACTGTCAGATGTAGCCTGTTAAGACTACAAGTACCAGCATGCATGTAGCAAGCATGTGTCATGCAAGCAACAAGTTCCAAACCTGGCTACTAATTCACATGGGTAATCATCTTATCATTTCAGCAATAAGAAACTTGAGTGAGTCTCATCCCACACCTTTTTTAGCTATGCCCTGGACCAGAGCTCCCAAACCTGGCTGAACAGAATCACCTAGGAAATTTTGGAAAATATTTAGGTTCCCCAGCCCTACAATATATCTACTAAATCCAAACCTCTGGGGATGGGTCTCAGAAATCTATATTTTAAAATAATTCCCAAGATGATTCTAACGAGGATGCAATTTGCAGAGTCTCTCAAACTTACTCGGTGGCAGAGCCATTTTGTTGTAGAGTATCTAGCAGAACTAGTGTTCTAAGGAACACATTTTGGCAAACACTGCCCTGGTGCAACTCAAATTATGAACTCCCACAATCCACCAATCACCCCTAGCTCTCTAGAAGTAATTAACAGCCTCCATTGGAATTAACTTAACCCAGCACTCTCACCAGCGTCTCTCTTTCCCGTTGCTGCAGTCTGGCACCTTCCTGTTCACGATTCAGGGCCTCCATGGCCTCAGAAAGGCTTTGTTCCAGGCGGGTTACCGTCTTTCAGGGAGAGCGGAACATAGGACAGAGGAACTGAGGGGAATCCCTGTATATTATACTTCAAAAAGCATTAACAACGTAAACTTGAAAAGTAAGACTTAACTAAATGACTTGTGAGCCAAAGAGAAGACTACATAGTGTGAGAAAAGCTGGGAAGACATTGACAATGCAAGTGTGACAGCAGGAACAGTGAACGGAGAGGAAATAGGGGAGGAGAACTATCAGGACAACTACTGCCAGAATGAAGTCAATCTGTTGGGAACCCTAAGTCCAGAGCTATTTCTACCCCCTTTCATCTAGCAATCTGTGACCTAGGTTCTAATGCCATACGATCCAGGTTACCCACCTCTTGCTGTTTGCTTCTAGTGAGTTCAGCTGCCTGGCGCTCCTCCTGGAGTCCCCGAAGCACCTCTGTCCGTTCAGCTTCATGCCGGTTCCAGCCCTCCACCACTCGGGCCAGGGTCTCAGGAGAGGAAAGTCAGATTGAATTTCAAAATAACTTTTTTGTCCTCTTTCTGCCCACAGGGGCAGGGTCAATATCCACCTTCTCCCAGTGGTCAGTAAACCCACCCCTTACCCCAGCTCCTAATGTGGACAAAGAAACATTGGTTGACCACCCCCTATTTACTACTCCTTAGTGCCCCCCATGAAGAGACCCACCCACATTCTGCTACCCTGGCACCTTGTCCAGTTGTTCGATCATGATATCTTTCTTGCGGTCAGCAGTCACAGCCACAGCTAACTGTTGCTGTAGCTCTAGCACTCGAGTCTGCAGGCTCTGAATATGGCGCTCACAGTGCTAGGAGGAAGGGTGAAGAGTCTGGGTGTTATTATCGTTAATCTGACCAAAGCACCAAACTTCCCAGCTCCTCCAGGGGAAATGGGCTGGAGACAGGGAGCCTGGGTCTCAAGAACAGAACAGGTTTGGAGAGGGAGAAGCAAGAATTCTGGTAGAGGAGCCTCGAGCCCCAAGACCTCCAACACCTTCCTCTACCTTCTCAGGAAATAGGAGCTTAGCTTCCAGGCTCTTACCTTTCCTAGATCTCCTAAGAAAAATTTCCAGGAGACTTTTGGCAGGGTGCAGCAGTCCACACTGCAAAGAGCAGGAAGCTACTCCTGCCTTAAGAAGCTCACTGGATACAACGATTAAACATAGCAAGGATAAAGGGGAAAGCCTTTCATTCATGCCTAGGCAGTTTAAAATAGAGAAAGACAGTGTTCCAAAAACGATAATACAACAAGTGATTTTGACTTTTCCTCTGCCTTGTCTCTCTCTCTGCCCTCTTCAGACAGGCTACAGCTCACAGAGATATAGCTTATTTTATCACCAATAGCTATAAAACCTTTGCACAAGCCAGCAAAGTTCATTGCTCATTCACCAAACACTTATGGAGTGTTTCTATGTGAGGGGTATACTCTAGACCTTAGGGAGACAGTGCTGAACAAGACAAGGTATGACCCTCATAGAGCTTAGACTTTAGAAGGGAAAAACAAACAAGATATACCAGACTGTGATAAGCTATATGAAAGAAATAATAAAGTGATCTGAAGGAACACCTGGAGGGGAAGTGTGCCATCTTAGACAGGATGGTCAAAGAAAGCTTCCCTGAAGAGCCATTTGAGCAAAGTCCCAGATTGCAGGTCCTTAACCCTCAACCCTTTTTCTAATCTTTGCTGCTTTCAAAAAGAAGCTTTTGTATCTTACCTTGCGACGGGTATGCTCTGAATCCAGTGCATCTCTCAGGCCCTGAAAATCCGGGGGATTGAGTGGGGGCCCTGGCCGAAGGCTGGTGTAGCGGGGAAACAACTCCTCCAGGGCTTGGGCTGAGCTAGACGGAGACAAGTCTTGCAGGGGCCGGGTGCTGAGCAAATTAAGTAGAGAATGTTAGGGTTGGGAAAGCTTTTGAGATTCACTAATCCAACTGTGATATTTCACAAATGAGGAAACTGAAACTCAGAAAGGGCAAGAGACTTGCCCAAAGTCATTACGCTAGGCAGTGACAGAGCCATAGATAGCAGAGAGTTTCTGTGATTCACTCTACAGTGCTCCTTCCTCTAAGCCACACTCCCTGCAGTAAAAAGCCTCAGCAGAAACAAGCTAACTCTTCTGGGGGAAGAAAGACTAGACGTTGGGAAAAAGCCAGGTACTAGGCAGCAGATTCCCATGCTCCTGAAGGAGTAAAGGGGTAGAAGATAGGAGAGAAAGGACGAAAGCTAAAAGCTAAGTGACAAGCATCTTAGGTCCTCAAGAACTACAAAAGCAGTAAAGGAAGAACCAAAGAATACAACACTTGGCTTTCCAAGAAAGCAAGCAAACTAGGAGAACCCCAAGGAGAACTCACTTAAGCAAGGTGGCTGTGCTGTCACTGTCAAAGGAGTCCTCTTCCCGTCTCTCTGAGCCAGCACCTGGGGTAAGGGGATCCCCTGCAGGCAGCCAGAGGGACCCCACAGCCAGGGTCAGGTAAGGATAGGAACAGAGACCACTTGATGGAGAAGAGAGGAGAGGGCTCTCTTTTCTACCTCCCTCACTCCTCTGGCCCCTCTCCCAAAAAACTGGAGCCTTTCCTCCTGAAACCTCTTGTCTCAGAGGTCTAGATTCCCCCGCCCCCTTTCTCTACTTTCTCCCACCCCTTAAATCTAGGTTCTCCTTTATAGGGAAGAGGGTTACTCACGATAGGCTGTTTCACGTGAGGTTTGGAGCATGCTCTGGAGCTGACCCCGGACACTTTCCATCTCAAAGATATGCCTGGAACCATCCTAGAAAAAAGCAACACAGAAATCAGATGCAACCTGTATAATCTATATTCTACCTACTGTCAGGGTAGATGGCATCCAGTACCCCCTAAAACCCAAGAATTTTTACTCTAGCACCTGGGGAAGCCAAGAAAAACAGAACTGACCCTATAGCGGTCAGAAACTCAAATGTCTACAGAAGCCATAAAGGTAGTATAAATGAATTAATTGGGCAAGTTAAGACAAGAGTGGTGAGGATTCTTGCCAACTAGGCAGCAACTACCTGCCTAAAGACCGTGTAGCCCATGGCTATCAGTTTTTCAAACTCTGGAAAACCGAACCAGTTTGCAAATTGGTTATGACACCTTTTCTATCTCAAACTAACAACTATCTTCTCTGCAACATGTGTAATTGATTAAACCATGTTTTAATGATTTATATGCCAAGTTTTGAACCATAAAATCAAAATATTTTTGAGCTGGAAGGACCTTAGCATATTTTGCTGCTACCCTTAAGTCCCTAGTTCCCTCTTGGGATGAGGAAACCTCATCCTCACTCTCAGTGCCCAAGTCCCAGTCAAAGGACAGCAACCTATCCCACAGTGCAGCTGTCTGACAGAAAAAACGCTAAGAAGTTTCACAATTTTCCAAATTATGGTGTTCCAGGCCACTCTCTCCCTCATAAACATTTGCTCCCAGGAACAAGCATGACTGACTCCGTAGCTAAAAGGAATTTGAACTCCAACAAGAGTTCAAATCTCAGTAAAACTATTTCTTTTTACCACCCCCAATCCCAAGACCCGAGAGGTCCCCAAGATACACCTTCCTCACCTTTTTCTTCAAGTTGTTCTCCAATCCAACTGACAAGCTGTGACTCAGCTCTTGGGCCAAGCCGTCTAGAGGTGGGGAGGTGGAGGGTAAATACAGCTGGGCTCGGGCTGTGGCCTCCGCCTGACGACTGAGGTGCAAAGAAGCATAGAGCTGGGAGGTCACCTCAGAGGACACCTGGTTCAGCCTAGGAGCTTCTGATGAATCACTCAGGAGATCTTCCTCCCGGAGAGGTGAACTGGGGCTGGTAGCTGATGTTGCCATGAGTACAGGGAAGAGACAACTGGAAACAACAGAGCTGGGAATTCCTGGTTCTGCTTTAGGAGAGCCCAGGAGAAAAAGTACATGGAGAAGGAAGATTTCGGAGAAAGGAGGAAGACTCCAAGCCAAGGATTCTTGGTGAATAAGGGTATGGAGGCTTTCTGGTTAGAGAAAAGGTTTCCACTGGTTCCAGAGGCCATGGGAGAAGGCAAAAGCATTTCTTTCCACAGCTCCTGGGAACAGTGGAAAAGAAGGGTGCCGCAAGGACGGGCTGGGCACAGAAGACCAACTGCGGGCAACAGCACCACTGCAATTCCTCTGGAGTGCTGAAAGCTGCAGACCAACTTCTAGCACAGGCTATCACTAGTCAACTATGAGCAGTTCTCACACTCAGAACGTGCTAACTGAAACGTATTCAAATCCAATAGGGGCCTAACCTCCGTCCAGCTGCTTTATGTGCCCCTCAACTGGCTCCAGTCTCAGAGAGGCAGGAAGCTCACGTTCCCCACCTCCCCACACCCCCTCCTACCTAGCGTCAACTCTCTTGTATATCCCCTCCGACCCCTCCTGGAAGAAAGCCATAGCAAAACCTCCCTAGACTCCCTACCAACCCCTAAGAAACCTTGTGAACACTCAGCCACGCCCTCAGACGGCCCTAAAAAGCACGCCGCCCTCAAGCCTAGACTGAGATCCTCCACCCCGACCACCCCGTTCCGATGACTCTCCACATTTGCAGTCCTCAGCCCCCCAATTTGCCAAGGTGGGGACAAGGTATTGCCCCCAACCCCTGAGTCCTGGTCCAGGAAGACCAAGACCCCCCGCTCTCGCGCCCTTCCCTACGCTCAAAACCGTTGGCAACCTCCCGCCCACCGGCCGAAGCCCCGCCTCTCTCGCCTGGATGAAGTCACCAGCCCCGTGCCTGTCGCTCGCAGCGGCTCCTATAGCTTCTGGAGCCCAGGAGGCTGGACGCGCGTGCGCGGCCTCGGCGGCCATGGATTGGCTGAGAGAGGTTTTGGGGCGGAGTTATTGCCCCGTGAGGACCCGGTGGGGTGGGGCTCCGTGAAAACCGGAAGTATCTAGTGACGGGCAGTCGGAGCAGTTCCGGTGAGTCCGGGGGTGGGGTCCCCGGCTGGTTGGAGGGGTCTGGGACCGAGAACTGGAGCCCACTGAGTGTGGGCGGTCCCGGAGCGAGGCTCACGCTTTCTACCCTGCAGATGACTGTCCACAACCTGTACCTGTTTGACCGGAATGGAGTGTGTCTGCATTACAGCGAGTGGCACCGCAAGAAGCAAGCGGGGATCCCCAAGGAGGAGGTGACGAGAGGGCCCCGCGCAACCCGAGTGACCTCGCATCTCCAAACGCACTTAGTCCCAATCCAGCCCCTCCTCTCCAAACGCCAGCTAGTTCCCACCCCTACCCCGTCTCCTTCAACAACCGTAAGCTAACTCTGCCCCTCTCCCTCCAGGAGTACAAGCTGATGTACGGGATGCTCTTCTCTATCCGCTCGTTTGTCAGCAAGATGTCCCCGCTAGACATGTACGCGGAGTCAGAGGGGATGTTGAGGGAAGGAGGGCTAGCCTTGGGAATTCTGGAGTGGGGGAAACCTTCTGGACTGGGAGGGCATGGCCCCCAGAGACAGGAAGGAGACAGAGAGAAGGAGTCTGGAGCTAGAGTGCTGGAGCTGGCAGGAGCGGCGGTGGGAAAGATCTGAAGGTAGTGAGGTTGGGCATCGGGGACAAATTGAGGGGGGAAGATGGGAGGGGTCTTTACTCAACCAGGCTCCTACAAATGATATCTTTAGAGAAGAGGGAGTCGACCTAGAGGGGATCTGAAGTATCTCTTTGGGAGAGATTCCGCTCCCATTCCTTAACATCCTCCTTATCTCTGCAGGAAGGACGGCTTCCTGGCCTTCCAAACCAGCCGTTACAAACTCCATTACTACGAGACGCCCACTGGAATCAAGGTTGTCATGAATACTGACTTGGGCGTGGGACCCATCCGAGATGTGCTGCACCACATCTACAGTGCGGTCAGTGCCAGCCCCTGGGACCCTTCCCCAAAGCTCCTCAACAGCGGTGGCCACTTAGAGCCCCAAGACTCCTTCAGCTTCCCTGCCCTAATCCTACTCTATTGTATCTCTTTTGAAGTCAGAGTTTTCTTGGGACCCTTTAGGTCCTTCAACACTCCCACCACCATTTTCTCCTCAGGGAGGACTTGCCTCCCAGCCCTTGATCTTTGTGCATTCACACACCCCTGAGGTTATACTAGGTTTTGGGTTGAAAACAAGAAGCGTCCAAAGCCTGGTTTTAACACCCTCCCCCTCCATAGCTGTATGTGGAGCTGGTGGTGAAGAATCCCCTGTGCCCGCTGGGCCAAACTGTGCAGAGCGAGCTCTTCCGCTCCCGACTAGACTCCTACGTCCGCTCTCTGCCCTTCTTCTCCGCCCGAGCTGGCTGAAGGAAGCACCCTACCTCACCCCTCAGGAGAATCCTGTCTGCCTGGGGCCCTTCCTAGCCTGTTTCACCTGCGGGCCCCCACTGCCAGCCTCTCCAGCCCCTCAGGCCCCCCAAGCAGCCCTCCCAGGGCACCAACCAAAAGTTTGCCCTGGTGCCCTCTGAATCGCAGGAAGGAAGCCTCTAGGAGTCCCTACACCCCCAAACCAGGCCCATTCTCCAGTTTTATCCCCTACTTGACACTGTGAGAAGTACAGAATAAACTTTTTTTTCACCCTCTGCGGCCTGAGTGTGTCAGTGTGAGTGGTTGTTGGGGGCCTACCCCACTCATGAAGGCGTGAACCAGAGTGGCCACATCCCCTGAGCCTGCAAAGAAGCTTTGTTCATGGATTTCTCAACTGTGGCACTCCTGACATTTGGGGCTGGATAATTCCCTGTTTTGGGGGGAGGGGGGCTGTCCTGTGCTTTGTCCTGGCCGCCACTCACTAGATGCTGGAAGCACATCTTCCCCCTTCCCCAGTCATGACAGTCGAAAATATCTTCAGACCTTGCCATATGTTCCCTAGGGGACAAAATCGTCCCCGATTGAAAAGCACTGAATTGGAGGAAGGCCGACCTGCCTCGTGTCCCAGAGGTTGGGAGAACCACCCTCCCGTGTCTTGCTCTCTGGCTTGTCTGAGCACACTTAATAGTCAAGCTAGGGAGCTTCGGAAGGCGGGGCTTGTGCAGACGAGCGGCAGATTTGGCTGGGAGGCGGGCGGCTTTATGCAGATGAGGGGGTGGTGCCTGCATGTTGATTAGTTGGGTCGGCTGCCGACGCGGCTGGGAGCCTAGCGGGTCCCGCTGCGGTTCGGGCTGAGGTGGCATCTCTCTTCCTACCCCCTAGTCCCTAGGTCCCTACCCCCCACTCACCCAGGATCGCCCTCGACCTTTACCCTCATACATTTCCCCCTCCTCCTCCCGGCGCCAGTTCCCCCGTATCCGAATATCTCCGCTCGTTGCGCCCCCCGCGTTTCTCCCCTCCCGCGGCAAAGCCCGCGACCTCCAGCAGCCCGCCCCCGCGGGCCGGATCAGCCTGGAGGCTCCCGCCGCAGCCGCCTCAGCCCTCCCGCTCTCCCGGGGGTCGCGCCACTACACCCCCGGGTGTCTGCCCTCAGGCTTTCCTGTTCACTTCTCCCGCCCCTTCGGAGCCCCCTCCCCGGCCCTGGCCAGCCGGCATGCAGGTGTCTATTGCGTGTACCGAGCAGAACCTTCGCAGCCGCAGCAGTGAGGACCGTCTGTGTGGACCCCGGCCGGGCCCCGGGGGCGGTAATGGCGGGCCAGTCGGCGGGGGGCATGGGAATCCTCCCGGGGGAGGAGGGTCGGGCCCCAAGGCCCGGGCCGCACTGGTACCCCGACCCCCAGCACCCGCTGGGGCCCTCCGAGAGAGCACCGGCAGAGGCACTGGCATGAAATACAGGTATGGGGGCGGCCGGGCAGCCCGCCCCATCTGCTCCCCTTTCCTGACCTCTGAGGCTTCTTGGGATGCCGCCAGAACCCCCTCAAACTTCGCTAAAAAGGTCCCAGCTCATTCCATCTCTTCAACTCATGACAGCACTCCCTTACTTGGTCCCTTCCTTGGTCACCATCGATACCCCTGACTAGGAGAAAATCAAGTTTACCAAGGTTGACAAGGTCCTGTCACACCCAGGGGATACTCCTAAGCTTCCCTCCTTACCCCGGGGAAGGCCAGAGATGCTGGGATCTCCAGGCTGCGCTCCCCTGCGCCCCCATAAATTGTCCTTGGGCCGGTGTCCTGGGAAGAAGGGAGGAAGGAAACAGCTTCTCACTCTGGCCTACTCAGGGTGCTGACCCAGATACTGCCCCACCTGCCCCAAGAGCCCCGGTATCCTGTGACCTTTCTTGGTGGGGAGGGAATGGGGCCCTGGGAAGGATGGACCACATCTCTCAACCCAGTACTGAGGAACAGGGCCCCAGTGGGGAAGGTAGACTGAAATGTAACTGACTTTGTCTCAGAAAACCACTGGGCTCTCAGAACTCACAGAGGGGAGACGGGAGGGACTCCTGTTTGGAAGTGAGCAGAGGTCACTCATCTGACCTGGCTTTGTCACTTGAGGACTTGGATCCCCTCCATGTGGCAACCCTGATTGGGAAGCTGAGCCGACTACCTGGGTGAGGGGCCTTGGGAGGAGGGGGCTTTCTGGTTCGGAGACAGACTTCACAAGCCAACAGAAGCAGGAGTGGAGAGGGGAAGAGGGAAAATTGTCATACTCTCCACCCAGGTGTCCCACCTGCCTTTGTTGGTGGCCCATCTGCCTAGCCTATCTAAGGACCCTTGCCTGCCTGAGTGTCTGAACTTGACTTGGTTTACCCGCTCCACCCCGATGTCTGCCCTTTAGCATAGCACTTTCTATCTGAGGGTCTGTTTTCACAAACTCATCACAATCAGCCAGTCACATTCCTCCCAGCCCCTGACTCCACATATCCCAGAGATGACTCAAACACAGACAAGCCCCACCTGAAGAAACACAAACCAGGCAGCACATCTTTAGTGTGATAGGAGGGAACAGAGGCATTGGACAGTGGCTCCAGAGGAACAGTCATTTATTTGTTCACTTGAGCTACAGCCATAGCACTGCCCAATTCGGTAGGCCCACTGGGTCTAGTTTCTTTGGAGGGAGACATCCTGACGCTTCTCAGTCTGGAGGGAGAGGAGCTGGGGGCTGATAATCTATGTCCCTAATGGAAGCCCCACCCCTTCCTGCTTCTTCTGTATTGTGCAGGAACCTAGGGAAGTCTGGTCTTCGGGTATCCTGTCTTGGCCTAGGTGAGTTAGAAAGAATTAAGGGAAGAGGCGTTCTTTTATGCTTGCCTCCCACCATTCTCACATGCCTGGCTTGTCTCTTGCAGGTACCTGGGTCACATTTGGTTCTCAGATCTCAGATGAGGTATAAGTGATGGGGCCTAGCAGCAGGGTGAGGGGGTGTGAGGGAACCAGAAAAGGGGGAAATGGACTTGGATAGGGGTTTGGACAACAAGCGTGGAGAATGGTGGACCTGGGCTGGAGGATGGGGAAAGGGGAAACAATGTGGAAACCAGGGCTGAGGTGTGATGGGCTAGAGTGCAGTGAGGGAGGTAATTGAGGGGCCAGTGGTTGATCTTCAACTCTTTCTCACCTCCATAGACAGCAGAGGATGTGCTGACAGTAGCCTATGAGCATGGTGTAAACCTGTTTGACACCACCGAAGTGTACGCAGCAGGAAAGTAAGGACCCAGGGGAAAGAGCTAAGTTACACTTGGAAGGCTGAGGGAACACCAGGGTGTCTTGTTTTCCCTCTAAAGAACCCTGGGAATTCTGTGAACACTGAGTTCCAACCTTTCAGCCAATGGGCCCCTGAAGCATTATGGGAAATGTAATCCCAACATCAGTCTCTCTCCAGCTTAGAGGGCAATGGGCATACTGTACAGTCAAAATAAATTAAAGCCAACAAATATATCGTAGGTGTCAGTTATGTGCAACTATGTGAAGATTACAAAGCTGCATTTTCAAACACACCACACATCACATCACATACCATGGCTTCACATTGGGAGTAGCCAAAACCTAGAATGACCTATGCCTGCGTCTTCTCCACTTGGCAAACTCTGCTGCTTACCTTCGAGACTTGGCCCAAATGTCAGCTCCTCCAAGAAGCCTTCGCCAAACTCCCCAAAGTTGGTCACTACCCACCTCAGCTCCCAAAGCACTTTTTTTTTTTTTTTTGATGAGGAAGATTGTCCCTGAGCTTATCTCTGTGCCGATCTTCCTCTATTTTGTATGTGGGACACCGCCACAGCATGGCTTGATGAGCGGTGTGTAGATCCACGCCTGGGATCTGAACTACAAACCCCGGGCCGCCAGAGCAGAGCATGCAAACTTAACCACTACACCACCAGGCCAGCCCCCTAAAGCACTTTATACTGCCCTCTGACACACTGTTCATCAATTACCAGTTTACGTGGCCATATTCACTGCTCAGTTGGGAGGCTCCTCCTTCCGTGGAACTGGCATTGCTCTTCCCCATGTCACCCAAGTACCTACACAGAGCCTAGCACAGAGCAGGCACTGCTTGTGGGATGACATCAACTTGCCCTCAGAAAGCTCATAGTCTAAGTGATTAAACAAACAAACCAAAAAGACAGGGAGATATGAAAAATTAAATAACAGTAAAACACTTCAGTAACAGTTCACCATAACAACTTAAGATGTCACATGTTAGCTCATAATTAAGTGCTAAAGAATTGTATAGCCAACGACAGCTATGGAAGGTGACAAGAAGGACTGACCATAGACTATGGCAATCAGAACATTTTCCATAAAATGAGGCAGAATCTGAGCTAAGCTTTGGAGGATGGGTAGGACTTTGCAGAGACTCAAAGAAGGGGGAGGGCACCACAGATGGTTGGAACCAGACAAGGCAGTGTCCTCCCCCGCTCCACTACAATCTGTCCCTCCCCCCTCATCCTATTCTATCCCTTCAGCATCCAGAACAGAGATTGGTACATAGTTGATGCACAACTGATATTTGTTGAATGAATGAATGAATGAATGAATGAAAACAATACAACTATACTTCTAGTTCTGGGAGCCCCTCTTTATTAGTCTAGGATGGGGCTGACAGCCCAATGGGCTCCTGGTTTATGCTTCACTTTACAAGAGAGGAAATCAGTTGAGGGCAAAGGTGGAGAGGAAGGGAAGGAACTGGTCTACCTTGGAGGGGTGAGTGCTTCTGCACTGTCTTTCTTCCAGGGCTGAAAGAACCCTAGGCAACATCCTCAAGAGCAAAGGTTGGAGGTGAGACTGTGTTTTGGGGGATTGCTGGGGACATGATCATCCAAAAGTCCTTTTCTTGATAGTTCTCCCATTTCTCTTTTTCCAGGAGATCAAGCTATGTCATCACCACCAAGATTTTTTGGGGAGGACAGTAAGTGCTGCCTCGCTATAATTGGGAGAAGATCTACAGAGAATGTGTGAAGGTGCACGGGATGGGGGTGGGGACAGCTGTCCCTGCACCTGCTACCCCGGGTCTGCACCTGCCTGTGAGGACTCATGCAATCCCAGTTCCTCATGGCACCAGGCCAATCCTGGTCCCTTATCTTTGACACACCTCATCTTTGACTTACCTTTTCCTACAGGGCAGAAACTGAGCGAGGCTTGAGCCGCAAACACATCATTGAGGGTGAGAGTTAGGGGCTGGGAACCTGCAGTGGCCGGGTATGGAAGCCAGAGGAGTTGGGAACATTCTCTGAAGCTCTGAGTCAGAGGTTTTGAATACGGAAGCTGGGATTTAGGGGGTCATGGCAAAGGGGTAAGGCCTGAATTCTTAGGTAACTGAAGCTTAAGTGCTTACCTTCCTCTCCCCATCCCTACCCTAGGCTTGCGAGGATCCCTGGAACGCCTCCAGCTGGGATATGTGGACATCGTCTTTGCCAATCGCTCAGACCCCAACAGTCCCATGGAGGGTAAAAGCAGCACCCCAACCCTGACAGTCCTTCAAAACTGCTCTCTCCCTGCTCAGGAGGCCTCCCAAGCTCCACAGGGAGGCTCAGACCCCAGGACTTGGACAGGGAGGGAAGCAAAGAGCAGATACCAACCTCTCTGACTCCACCAAGATGCCTGGGGTCCTGGTGGGGCAGACAGAGGTCTGCAGATCTGGAGCCCTGGATGCCAGGGGTCTGACAGTGAGGCTCTCCCTCTCCCATGTGCCTAGAGATTGTGCGAGCCATGACCTACGTCATCAACCAGGGCATGGCCCTATACTGGGGGACATCCCGATGGGGGGCTGCAGAAATCATGGTGAGTGTGCCACCCCACTTCCCCCTGTCTCACAACTGGTTCCCACTTTTCACATGGCCACTCCAAACCCCACTCTACTGGAGGAGGGAGAGTGGAAGAAAATGGAGAGAGTGCTCTGACCCCCATTTCTTCCCCACCTCAACCCAGGAGGCCTACTCCATGGCCAGACAGTTCAATCTGATTCCTCCAGTGTGTGAACAAGCTGAGCACCATCTGTTTCAGAGAGAGAAGGTGGAGATGCAGCTGCCAGAGCTCTACCACAAGATTGGTTCGCATCCCCCACATCGGTACCTTTCCCTTGGCCTCCCCATCACCTAGATCCCTTACCCCAGATTTAATTCCCTTCCTCTTAGGTGTTGGCTCAGTCACCTGGTCCCCTCTGGCCTGTGGCCTTATCACCAGCAAGTATGATGGACAAGCCCCAGATACCTGCAGGGCCACCATCAAAGTGAGATCTAGGGGCTCAGGACGGCAAGGACTGGGCTATCTGGGCTGCTGGGGGACGTGGTCTTTTGCTGATTGTCCTTGACCTCCAGGGCTACCAGTGGCTCAAAGACAAAGTGCACAGTGAGGATGGCAAGAAGCAACAAGCCAAAGTCATGGACCTTCTCCCCATCGCCCACCAGCTGGGCTGCACTGTGGCACAGCTTGCTATTGGTGAGACACTGCCAGCCCCTGCCCCTGCAGGGGCCTTGTCTCCTCTTGAGATGCTACCAAACCCCAGACTGACTTGTCCCTAAGGAGGATTCTCTTCCTCAGAGACACTTCTTAAGTCTGTGTGCTCACTGTTCTCCATCAGTTCTCTTTTTTTCTTCCTCTGGCCCCAGCGTGGTGTCTCCACAGTGAGGGTGTCAGCTCCGTCTTGCTGGGGGTATCCAGTGCAGAGCAGCTGATAGAACACCTGGGCGCCCTACAGGTGAGCTAAGGACTCAGAGGCAGAGGCCATCTCTGTCCCCTTCCTCAGCAGTCAAAGCCTGGCTGTCCAACCCAGAATGGGCCCGTGAGGTCACCCACAAGGTCCTCGCTTTGCAGATGAGAGGTTCCAGGGTGACAAGGCAAGGCAGGGGCACAGCTGCAACTCTCTCCCTGCCACCTGGCCCCGCTGTGCTGCTCCCCAGGTCCCTGAACCTCATGCCCTTCTTCAGTGACCCAGCATGTACTGCTCTCTCCACCACCCCGTTCTCCTCCAGGTGCTGAGCCAGCTGACGCCGCAGACAGTGATGGAGATAGACGGGCTCCTGGGCAACAAACTGCATTCCAAGAAGTAGCCCGTCGGGGGCGCAGGGACCCGAAC